TGACAAGGTGCCTCATGATATTCTTGTAAAGAAGCTGGTAAAATGTGGTCTTGACTATGCTACCACTCAGTGGATTTGTAACTGGCTGACTGACCGAACCCAAAGGGTGCTCATCAATGGTTCCTCTTCATCCTGGAGAAGAGTGACTAGTGGGGTGCCACAGGGTTCTGTCCTGGGCCCGGTCTTATTCAACATCTTTATCAACGACTTGGATGATGGACTCAAGGGCATCCTGATCAAATTTGCAGATGACACCAAATTGGGAGGGGTGGCTAACACCCCAGAGGACAGGATCACACTTCAAAACGACCTTGACAGATTAGAGAACTGGGCCAAAACAAACAAGATGAATTTTAACAGGGAGAAATGTAAAGTATTGCACTTGGGCAAAAAAATGAGAGGCACAAATACAAGATGGGGGACACCTGGCTTGAGAGCAGTACATGTGAAAAGGATCTAGGAGTCTTGGTTGACCACAAACTTGACATGAGCCAACAGTGTGACGCGGCAGCTAAAAAGCCAATGCAATTCTGGGCTGCATCAATAGGAGTATAGCATCTAGATCAAGGGAAGTAATAGTGCCACTGTATTCTGCTCTGGTCAGACCTCACCTGGAGTACTGTGTCCAGTTCTGGGCACCACAGTTCAAGAAGGACATTGACAAACTGGAACGTGTCCAGAGGAGGGCAACCAAAATGGTCAAAGGCCTGGAAACGATGCCTTATGAGGAACGGCTAAGGGAGCTGGGCATGTTTAGCCTGGAGAAGAGGAGGTTAAGGGGTGATATGATAGCCATGTTCAAATATATAAAAGGATGTCACATAGAGGAGGGAGAAAGGTTGTTTTCTGCTGCTCCAGAGAAGCGGACACGGAGCAATGGATCCAAACTACAAGAAAGAAGATTCCACCTAAACATTAGGAAGAACTTCCTGACAGTAAGAGCTGTTCGACAGTGGAATTTGCTGCCAAGGAGTGTGGTGGAGTCTCCTTCTTTGGAGGTCTTTAAGCAGAGGCTTGACAACCATATGTCAGGAGTGCTCTGATGGTGTTTCCTGCTTGGCAGGGGGTTGGACTCGATGGCCCTTGTGGTCTCTTCCAACTCTATGATTCTATGATTCTATGATTCTATCTTAAAAAGCAGAGACATCACCTTGCCGACAAAGGTCTGTATAGTTAAAGCTATGGTTTTCCCAGTAGTGATGTATGGAAGTGAGAGCTGGACCATAAAGAAGGCTGATTGCCGAAGTATGGATGCTTTTGAATTCTGGTGCTGGAGGAGACACTTGAGAGTCCCATGGATTGCAAGAAGATCAAACCTCTCCATTCTTAAGGTAATCAGCCCTGAGTGCTCACTGAAAGGACAGATCGTGAAGCTGAGGTTCCAATACTTTGGCCACCTCATGAGAAGAGAAGACTCCCTGGAAAAGACCCTGATGCTGGGAAAGATGGAGGGCACAAGGAGAAGGGGATGACAGAGGATGAGATGGTGGGACAGTGTTCTCAAAGCTACCAACATGAGTTTGACTAAATTGCGGGAGGCAGTGGAAGACAGGAGTGCCTGGCGTGCTCTGGTCCAGGAGGCCACAAGAGGCGGACACGACTAAACGACTAAACAACAACAACAACCCTCTGTATCTGTTTTACACAGTTCTGGTCCCAGGCCCTGATTAAAGCAACTGGAAGCCATGGGCTGGGAGACCTTGGGAGCCCAAACTTAGTAGCATCTGATCATGAGAAGCAAAACCTCATTCTCTTCTTTATCTGTTCAATGAAAGTAGAACGCTGCTTATTTTTCATTTGATTCTGAGTAGCTTTAAGGCCTCCATGGACTTTACTAAACAATAAGTACACACTTGTGTAAGTGTTATACAGTCATAGACTCCTACGTGTTTAATGTTACTAAGCAACTGGACCTAGATAGTAAAATCTGTTTTTTATTTTATTTTTTGCAAGAGGCCGAGGCCCCTCTAGATTATGAGCCCCTGCAGCCCATATGTCAGTTTGGCACTGCCTGGTCTTCCATCTTAGAGACTTACCTGTTATGCTATGCTATTGCAGCCAATCAGCTGATGTGCGGCAACTTCAACCCTGTTTTCTGCGGGAATTGGATGAATGACCAAATTCCCCATGGCCAAAGGGGTTGTGCAGACAATCCACTCTGCCCTCTGACTGCCCTACACCTGATGTTGCATATGATGGTTTGGGGAAACCTGCCTTTTGGGCCAAATTGGGACCTGTACCAGGCCAGATCTGGCACATGGGCCAGGTTCTTTGTCTGTAAGAGCATAAGAAGAGGCTGGTGGATCAGTCTCATGACTCATCTAGTTCAGCATCCTGTTCTTACAGTGGCCAACTAGATGCCCATAGGAAGTTCACAAGAAGTACAAAAGCACTATTCCCCCTTGTGATTCCCCCTTGGTATTCAGGGGCTTACTGCCTCCAACAGAGGACAGAACATAATAGCTCTTGCAGTCTTATCCATTTTAAAGCCATCCAGTTTGGTGGACTTCACTACTTCTTATGGGAGCAAATTCCATAACCACGTGAAGAAGTACTTCCCTTTGTCTGTCTTGGTTCTTCCAACATTCAGTTTTGTTAGATGTCCCCAAGTTCTAATGTTATGAGGGAAGGAGAACGACTTTTCTCTATCCACTTTCTAAACACCAGGCATCATTTTATGTGCCTCTTGTCTCCTCTTGCTTGTCTTTTCTGTACCCATCTGGTTGTTGAACTGCAGCCAGAGATCTCCTTTATGCAGGAACAAGATTTTTGAGCAATGGTGTCCAGCAAGTTTCTTTTCCGCATGGAGGAAACAACCTTAATTATTGCAGGGAAATATTTTATTGTTTTATGTTTGGCACTACATCACTAATTAAGTCAGGCTTTCAAAAACCACATTTTTTGCAACAACTGTGATTGCTTATTCCCCAGGTATGTTAGGAATTGAACTTCTAGGATATGATATGAGGGTACCATATATTTATTTACATGTACTTTGCTATGAAATGCCAAGAGACTACGAATAAAGTAAAATAAAAAAATAATATAATCTCAGTTCTTCTATTTTGGCAATCTCTTCTGTGGTTTGCCTCTGACTGATCTGAAACATTGAAACTCATGACAGGATATGGCAAACAGAACCAGGAAAGGAAAATAGGATCATTTGTTTTCCTCTATAAAATGCTGTTACGGGAAATGTTTTGTGTAAAAGGCAGTATATTAATAAAACATCTCAAGGGATTTCTGACATGCATGCATCCATCCATTTAGGACTTTGAATTTATCCCCACAAATTTCTCTTCTCTTTGAAAAGATCACGGTTTTGTGTTCTTTGTCAAATAAAGGCTGATATGAAACTCTAAAAGCATATTCTTCTGAATACCTAAATGCAGCACATTGTGCATCACATCCATTATGAAGTGTGCGTCCATCTATATTTCCACCAAAATACAGGAGGGAGGGTAGAGAAGCCAAATCTCTCCTAGTTGCCACTTACATCTATATTTTAAAAGCCATAATCCACACAGTTTTGCCAATTCACAACTGATGTGATCCACATATATTTTGTAGTCAGGAATTGTACACAGGAATAACTGAGTACAAAACATATTGTAAAAAGCAGTCAGTCTTCACAGCACGGATAGAAGTCCCTTAAAACTTAGCCCTAGGTAAGTGTGTACAGAACTGCACTGTTAGCCATTTCTAATATAGTGCAGCCTCAAACTAACTTTTTCAAACCTCATACAACCAGTATTGGTCTTTGCCATTAAACCTACTCATGTGCACCGCTTTGTCTGTTTAATTCTAAACATTTTCGTTCATTTTCGTATCTATGTCTTCCAAATCCACTTTGCTCAGATAGCTGATGATGCTTTTCCGTGTCACATAGATAAAGGCACAATCAAAGTATTAGTTTTTTAACTGAGTATAAAATGTGATCTGGATACATGGCAGCACTCACTGGACCATGTTATCAGAAACTAATTAAATATTGTTAGGAGGACAGGAATTGTCAGGACTTGGTCCAAGTCTAAGTTCAACTCAAGGGCAGAGAAGTCCACTTAGGAGGACATAAAGCAGCAACCATAACATATACCCAGGTCTCAGCCACTTTCAGGATCAGTGCGTTATCCCTGGATCAATGACAGCATCCCTAACAGATGGTCATCCAGCCTCTGCTTAAAATACCTCCAGTGAAGGAGAGCCCATCACCTCCAGAGGCAGTCTGTCCCACTATCTGACAGAAATCAGTCAGAGGAGTTTCGTTTCGCCAGAATCCCTGCCAATTCCCCCCTCCTGCCTGATGGAGAACTCCAGGTCCTTGCAAAGAAAAATGTGGCCACCCTTATATTAGCAGATACAATGTGATGAAGCATATCTAGCCCCCTTGGGCTTTCATAAGGAGTCAGCTGCATGCAGCTGTACGGAACTACCATGAATTCTGCTAGATACCCTGATATCACATGTGAAAAGCTAATGTGTTAAAAGTTCTTCTTCCTCCACTGAAATTAATGGAGCTTCACTTGTGATAAGACAAAGGCCTGGCATATGTACATGACAACACAAACAATTGGAGTGATCACATATAATTTAAGATTTAGGCTTTGTCTAGATTGTCATCTCAAACCCAAAACCTAATTTCCACCAAATATCTTTATGATTGGAGTGTCACCATGACAAACCATGTTAAGTCAAGTTGTGACACAGCATAGAGTGCTTACCCAACAACTGAACAGAGAAGATATTCAGTTCTATCACTTTTATGCACACCTAGATCACAAAGGAATGCTAGTTGTGCAAGACTTTTCTCCCTGCCGGCTTAGCCAGGCATCTCTAGAACCCGGAGCTAACATGTTTCTTTGAATATAGTTTTTTCATAACCTTATGATCTCTGCTTTCTGGATTGTATATTTTCAGATTCAGGTAGGTAGCCATGTTGGTCTGACACAGTCGAAATATACAAAAAAAAAATTGTCCAGTAGCACCTTAGAGACCACCTAAGTTTGTTCTGGGTATAAGCTTTTGTGTGCATGTACACTTCTTCAGATATGCACACGAAAGCTTATACCCAGAACAAACTTAGTTGGTCTCTAAGGTGCTACTGGACAATTTTTAAAAAATCTTTTGTATATTTTCAGTCAGCCCAGTAATACTATGAAAGTTTTCTCTAAGCTTTCCCAATACAAAGGCATATGCAAGCACTTCAATTTCTGTGTTCATCAAGTACAAAAAACTAATGGTAATTTGCTAATCAACTCTATAATGAGTTTAGATCTGGCCTGGGAGCACTTGTAGCTAAAAGTAGTCTATAAATTTAACAATGAAATACAAATAGGAAACAATAAAGTATGTTCAGGATAGTGACAGGTGTGCTATAAATCTAAACAAACACAGGAGACCCAGAACTTACGCGGGGGTCAGATTCCAGGGATCGCACCTAAAGTCAAACCTGCAAATGGTCAAAACACATTGGGTTCAATGGCAGGCGCCAAGGTTTTCCTCCCGGACCCTGCCCCGCCTTTCTGCTCCATTTCTATTTTTTGGCCAAGCACATAAATTTGAATGCGCACAAGTTAAATGTGTGTAAATTGCACATCCACTGTACTAATAAGAAAAAGAATCTGAGCAAAAAAAGAACATTATTTTCACTCTGGGGATAGTTTCCACACAAACTTAAATGAAAATCAAAATGCCTGTCACTTGCATGTATGAGTGAGCTGAAGTAATGATGATGATGATGATGGTGGTGGTGATATGGGTCAAACACCACAGAGAGAAGTTCAAATCACCTCGATCACAAGGCTTTTCAGTTCAGAGCATTCACACATTCAGATCTGAGTTATACAGTGCAAAGTAATTCAATGGTCTTCATGGATGTGAACCATTTCTCTACGTTACTTTAATGCACTTTACATGTGTATGCAACTTTTGTTATATGTGCCAACCCACTCATTCTGTGTAAGACCATTTTCAAAGAATAATAGAATTGTGGAGTTGGAAGGGACCCTAACGTGAAATCTTACTTTTCTTCCATGGACAGCTGTTTCATAATTTAAACATTCACTTTTCATAACCTGCCATGCAATTCTCCATTTTTAACCATGACAGAAGAAATATCACCATTCTTCTCCACTCCACAGAATGTAATGTGTCTGAAATGCTCATTTTATTGTGAAATTGTGCAGGGAGAGAAGTTGGCCGTTTGCACTCCAAGGGCAACGTTCACCAAATATTATGGCTACACAACCTCCATGTGTCGTTCAGACCTTTTGAGAACTGCAATTTCCAAACTATTTCAGAATCACTCTTATTCTTATTTCTCAGTTAAAACTGGAAATGGGGGAGGTAGGGTATTATCAGTTTAAGTTGTATATTTTTAATCAGTTTATCACTTAGTGTCACCCTGGAATAAAATGAATCTGTTGCTACAAAGTGGAAAAGGCTAAAGGGTTATACACCTGATCATCTCCTTACCAGTCACTAATTAATTTTTATTTATTTATTTGTATTCAACAGCAGAATTCATCACTTCTCAGCAGCCGTAAAATGACCTGGGAGTCACACCTGCCCATTTACTAATGAAAATGATGGTTTCTTGTTCTGTTCCTAAGAAATAAGAGCTGATGTAACTTAGGCAACATGTTTGCAATGTTTGAACTACCTCACTCCAAAAAAGCTTACTGCCATATGCAAGCATTGCCACTGCTCATTTGTAGAACAGCAAGTCTGAGCCAAACAGGGAAACGAGAGAGGGGTGCTGTCTCGTCGGTAACTTATGACCTCCCTTCACCTTGTGCGTGGGCCCCAGCAGCCCTGGAGACAGGCTCATTAGAAATGATCAGATGAGAAAAGGAGAGGAACAGAGGGGTACAAAATACAGCAAAGGAAGGAAGAATTCCTCAGGAGGAGGAGAAATGCCCAGGGGTGTTGCTGGGGGTGGAGCTGAGCCCCAGTGGGCCTCTCCTGGGAAACCTGGTTCTTCCAGCAGAACTGATTTGCACATTATGTAAAATGGGGGTGGTAGAATTACTGGAAGACACATGAGGTAGGAGGGGTCATATTTTTCAATCCTTACTTCTGGAAAAATCTTCCTCCATGTAGTGAATAAACACATCAGGGGGGTGGCTTTGATAGACCCCCTCTCCCCTGTGCACTGGTTTACAGTTATTTCAACAAGTGGGAAGCATTCAAAAGTATCTCAGCACCACATAGAATGGCTACCACTCACTTGTCAGCGCAAAGGTATGGCTCCACTCCAGAGCTTCAAAATTTGGTCCTGCAGTTCTGCAAAATGCTAACAGATGAATGGTACTGACAGCTGGTCTTGTTCTGTTTTTCAAGAAAACTCACTACATATCTAATTGGATCTGGAGCCAAAAAATAAAAATCCTAAAGTGAAAAAAGAAGAGAAGGCCTTGGAGCTTGATGTACTCTGAATATGGTACACAGTCTTTCACAGACTTCAGAATACACCCTCAGAGTTCAGAATATAGTTCTATCCATCTGAATTGCCTGGTGAATGTCAGTAATTCCTACAGCAAATGCTCTGGTCATGAGTTGGATAAACCCAAAGTCTGATAATCTTCCTGAAAAATCAAAAATATAGACCTGCAATATAAACAATCCATCAAATCAATTAATCAATTACCGTTTTATGGAATTACAAGACAAGTAATTTTGTATTTCAAGCCAGGAAAGTTTGAATTTAAGAAACCTCGCTGTCAGTGGTCCCAACATCAAAAGCCACTATTCTCTATATTCTAAAAATCTATCTCTGTGTGTGTTTAACTGCACTTTCTGTCTCTGTTTTTAGGCCAACCACCTCAGCTCTAAACCAAGAAACAGCAGCAAGTCCAAGACATTTTGTTGCCTGAAGCAGAGCGCAAATGCTCCCCTCCTCCCAGTTCTAGGGCAAACAGCTTAATTAAAAGCTGTTGTCATTTATCATCATGTTTCTTTCCAAGGCTGTAATCCTAATGCACATTTACATGGAAGCAAGTCCCATAAACTCCATGAGATTTACTTCTGAGAAGACTTGCAGAGCACTGCACTGCACACACACACACACACACACACACCCCTCCTCTTCACCCCCATTGCAAACCTGGCTAAGCCTCCTCCTGCTGCTGCTGCTCCTTCTTACACTGCTGCTGTGGAGGCGCACCAAACCATATGGGACAAACAACTGACCCCTCATGTGGATGGGCAAGGCAGTTCTAGGACACACGGTGTCTCTTTCATTCTCACTGGCCAGTGAATTTGCTCTGCTGCTGCTGCTCACCTCCTCCAAGTCCCTTTGACAGAGATGAGATGGGAGCCACAGCAGAGCAGCAACAGTACATGATCCCTGGAGCACAGGAAGAGGAGGGGAAGCCAAACCAAGGGAGGGCAGAGTAGAGGGACCACTGCAGTTGAAGCCACAAGTGAGCTTGTCATTACTGTTACTCGACTCAGTTTTACCACCCCAGAAAAATGTCTCAAATCATCTGCTACCTGAAGTCCTTAACTTCTCATTGGGCAGTGAAGCATCCATTAGTAACAGGCTCAGTTGGATTCAGCATAATGTTATAGGAAAGAATACTGAAGTTCTGTAAAGGCAAATAGATTTTTTAAAGTGATTTGGGGGAAACCCCCTAAAAAGCTGCCTTCTCTGGAGATACAATTTTTTGCCACACCTGATAAGGCAGAAGTGTTCACTCACTATAAATACCACCTGCTGTCTTCACCTGATTATCAAGCAGCTGGAGGCAGAGAAACTATCAGTCACAGAAAAGAAGCCTACAAACATCTGTAGTTTAAGGTAATCTCCAGTTATTACAAGTTCCTCTCTATCATCCTGGGGAATCAGACAGGAATCTGCAGCAATTCCACCAAGCAGGATTATCAGGATTGCAGGCTTTCAGCAGAGCGCTTGACAGTTGCATGAGGCCACAGAGGCAAATGCAAAGGTTACTTTCCTATGGTAATATCTCAGGCATTTAAGTTTGGACATGAAGCAAAAGCATGAGACTACTCAAGGCAAGCAAAATGTATTATTAATTTTAGGATTAAGGACACTGATGCACAGTATTCCATATCAGTTGCTCATAAAACCTGCCCTCCAATTTATCTTTGCTAAATTTATTTTGACTTTTCTGAGGGTCATGCCAATTATTCTTATAACCTGACTGTTCCCAGATATCAGCTGAACTTGTATAGGGCTACATTTAACTGTTCCTCTTTTTTTTGTAAATGCCGGCCAGTTTGGGGGCACTCTGTATAACAAATGAATCTGTGCTTTCTTGTGTAAGTAACTTCCACAATGATGAGAGAAGTTATTTTTTACCACCCTATTAAAATACCCAGGAAGGACCTTTGAATGTTATTTGGCCTACTTATTGGCTGGCATGAGCAAAATGATAACAATATAGAGATTGTAACCTGGGTTTCCCTTGTCCTATCCAACACTCAAATTTTGGGAGACTGCTGGAGGCCCCTGCCACAAAATAGATGCCATGGAGAGGCATGGCATAACACAAAATCAGCGAGACAGCCACCCCTGAAAACCTTATGCTTGCAATGGGAAGCTAGCTATGTCCCGATGGCCTTGATTGTGGACATCACACAATATTGACTTCACACACACTTGCTACCTATCAGCAGCAGAGAATAGAACCAGGAAAAAGTCTACAAGGTGGTCATGCTACACTCACTCTCATTTCACAGCACTTACTTAGAAGGTTCCTGCACATGTTGCCCCATAACTATCTTTCGGGGGGGGGGCTGGAACTTCAGAGTCTGGGACACCAGTGGAAGCCTTCACAAGTGCCATGGTGCCTGCTGGGTTGGCAGCCCCGGTTTTACTCTACACCTTCTTGCTCCTGGCAACAGAGGGTCTGTACCTTATTATGTAAGTCAAAATTATCTAAATGCTTTGAAACAGGGGATCACAACACAGTGACCAAACAAGAAGAGCCGTGGAGTTCACTTTGCTGAGCAAGTCTTCCCCAAGAGATACCAGAAAGCAACAGGCGTGTTGGATGATTGTAAGGAACACGATGACAGCTTGAGGCTCAGAGCTTATGTTGCAAGACACTTATC